GAGAGAAAGAGAGAGAAGAACCGGTACTCACCGACTAGAATGAGGATAAATGCTGGATCGAGCGCGATGTTTGTGAGGCGGGACAGGTTGTTGAAGGTGTCCTTTTCGGTCCATGCCCAGACGCCCACCGCCATGATGCCTAGACCCAGCCACTGCGAGAAAGAGGAAGAAAAAGGCGGTGAGAGTTAGAGATTGGCTTAAGTGAAGACGAATATCGGCGGTAAGTTCCGGCCAACCGGAAACTTCTCGCAAACTGTTTTCGCGTCGTCTGCCATATTTTCGACTGGAGTTTTTCGATTATCTCGACAAGAGTAACGTAAATTTCATTTAGCAATGCATTGGGTTATCGTACAAAAGGGAATTCTATTATATTCGCTCACCCTATATTTATCGAGGAAAATTGCAGACTAAACAATCAATAATTCTTGCAAAAGAAATAATTGTTTGAAATTAAAACAGTTATCGCAGCCTCCATGTACTTTTTCCATTCAGAACCGGATTAGGGAAAAAGGAATTATCCGTGAAATGAACACCTTTGATCATTGGGCCAATGTAATTGCCCGCGAGTGCAAAAAGTTAACATACACGTATGCGCGTTCATGCATGGTTTGTGCGCTCCGGAGAGACAGAACCACTCGGCGAAATTGCGCGTCGAGATCTCGATTATACGGATCCGGTCGTGTGGCACACGCGATTGCGCCGCGGATGCGATTACCCACGGATAATGAGAAAAGCGCTGTGGGAGAAGGAAAAAAAGGAAGGAAATCGAACGAGAATAGGGTCTAACGGCTTTCGACCCTTAACGCTCTCGTGGAAGGCCTTTCGCCGTGCACGCGTAGTTACGTTTCAAATAGTTCGCAAACGACAAAGGTTTGCAGAGTGCTGGCCCTAACCAGCCCGTTCCGTTAGCGAATCTTTCCGCTTGCGTTTTTAAGGCTGGTCCACGAGGCTTTGTGATTTCCGTGGATCAAGCGTAAGCAGGGGTATTCTCGCACGCTCTCACTGAAATCGATCGTTACGAATTCTCTATCGCTGTATCGCGTGCCAATTAAATTGGCAAATCTAACGTTCTTCATTGTCGTCCATATAAATACAATATTGTTATATATTTTAATAATATATATTTTATCTGTTATTATCAATTTTGATTTTTATTCCATTTTATTAACGATTCATGTCCAAGAGATAGAGCTGCTTAATCGCGCGCGCGCGCGCGAAGGTGAAACGCGCAATTTAACTCCGTTAATCAAGCGAGCGGCATACAATGTAGCTTTAATATTAGTCTGACCGACGTGTGGCAACCACATTTGCGGAGAGATTGATATTCGGCGTCGTGCATTTGCTGACGTTAAATCCACGCAATTACCAATGACACACGTAGTGCGCGTTCGCATGACAAGACCGACTTAACTCGAAGTAGCTGCAACACCTGAGGCTGTGCCCGATAACGCGTATGCATCTTGCAGGAGTAATCGGCTTTAATCCCCCGGGGGCTCAGTTTATGACAGTGCGCATAACTATTCTGCGTTTGCTTTACCTTCGATAATTTGCGCCTCGCGCCAGGCGGAATGAATGGGTCATGTGGCCTTTTATAGCAAGCCTTAAAAAACGGAGCAACATTTCAAATCGTTAGAAATCGTTAAATCGCGCAGGATTTATCTGCGTGTACATTGTAACTAAATACCGCTGGCTACTATAATCTATCTAGACTTTTGTATAATAGAGACCGCTATCGCTCTCTCGACTCAATTCGCGGCAATTATTTAGTTTTGCAAGTTTTGTGCGCGGATCATGCAATGTCGCCGGTGGCGTACGCGGATACTCACGTAAAAATTCGATCGTAAGTTAAACGACGTGTATACGCTATTGTCCGCGATAATATCTCACGAACGAACGAACGTGGGCGGCCTTTTTTTAGCGCTGCGACCGATTTGACGGAAGCTGAAAAAGGGGCGCGGACGAAAAGAATTGTCCGACACGTTTGAATTGTGTGAAATCCATTCACGATAAATCATTTGTCGAAGTCAAAATACACGCATGCACGCGTACATACACGACCGACCGTAAATATAGCCCGGAATGCACGGTATTTGCGTAGCAACTAGTGTGCCAATTTGTTAGTGCGGTGAAATCACCGGTGAATGATCACGGACACTAAATGGTCACTTTAATTTATAGCTGTACAGTTATATAGTGTTCTATCCCGCCTGTCGGGATATAGTTGTATTTGTTTATGCAATTATTTATATTCACTGATGCATCCATGCGTTCGTGAAAGCATTTTGCGAGCCGGACTTCTCGTCGGACGCGTCAATTATTGGCCGATCGGCGTGTATCGACGAACGAACGAAAAAGAGAGAAAGGAGCATGCCGTGAGTCAGACGACCTCCCCACGATTTTTGCGCGCGTCGCTCTCCTTTCGATATATGAATTAATTTTTTTTTTTTTTTTTTAAACGTCGGAGATTCGTCGCTCGCGTTGGCGAGGTTTTATTTGCGTTGGCGACCAGCCGTTAATAAAAATCATCGCTCGAGACCGACGACGGTATTTCGCTCTCTCGCCTCCTGGACATCGCCGGCGCAATTGCTCTGGAATTGTGCGATGCAACTTTGATGCGCGAGAGAAGGCCGCGCTAAAGCGGGGAAAAAAAGAGAGGTTCGGATAGCATTCGACCCTCCCCGCGAACACACTCTCTGATACAATAACAAATTTTGCACCTTTCGATGCGTTATCTCTGAATACATGTCACGAACATGGCCGGAGTTGCGTGTCATCCCGGTGCCTGCAAACAATTTCTCAGCGGCGCATAATTCACGATCGAACGGCTCTCGCGCGATCACGCTCGTGACGTCGGGACGCGAAGGTGACGCTGACGATATGAGTGACGCGTGTCCTCCTTTTCCCTTCGTTGTATACCGAGATAAAAATATAATTTGCAAATGTGAGCAAGAAAAAGTGATAATTAATGTTACGACCTCGTTATAATCTGCATATCTTACATGAATTTCTACTATTTTGAATTATTTTGAATTTTGCAATATGATTTGTCTACAGTAATAGTTGCGCGATAAAACGCAATATTTTAAAATAAAATAAAATAATTATCGGAAAGAAAGAAAGAAACGTGTATTTTATCGCATATTATTTATGTTTGTGCTTAGTTTTTGTGTTTTTTTTTTTTCTTGCCTCGGCGACTAATCAACTCTCTTATTATCGGTATCCTACTGTGTGCCATTTCAACACTTTTTTCACATGACATTCAAAGTTCTTTTTTTGTTGTCCGTATATTTTTGCATTATAAAAATATCTCTCGCCTTTTCGCGTAAACACATCTTATTCTTAGCATCAAGTGAATAATTTTTACCAGTAGATATGATTTACGTCACGACTTATTCAGATTGATTATATATTTTATATAACAATATGGCATTTGTGTTATTTGTTGTGCCAATTACATATTTGATACTTGTAAACTTTTCTTAAAAGATCGCGCTCACATTAATCTTTTGTTCTCTAGCGAAATGTAGGAATTACAGAAATATTTTAACGCCATTGTCTTTAGCATTACCGAGAAGATAGGAAATTCGTCCGTCTTATTTGTTACAGTCACGTCTAATGATGGGCTTGGAAATTTGTTTTACATTGCGAAAGCAAAATTTACTAAGCGATTTATCCACACAATTAAGACTAACAAATATTGTTCTCAAACGGTTAATGATAACGTAGCGTCATCACGTTGTTTCGACAGTGGAAACAGCGGCAACAAGCAACTGAAAAACAAGTTTTGGAAAAAATAACACGATCGGCAACACGGTCTGGATGAAACTTTTCTTTTGAACGAATACGCGCGTGTGGCGCGACCGAGCAGCGAGTAAATAAAATGTTTATTGTGTTGAGTTAATATTTTTCCAACGGCTCTTTATCCGTCGAATGTTTTCGCAGCAATACGGTCAGAATCCGCGCAATATACATATCTGTTCGAATGTGCAACGCGCGCTTTTACGATATTAATTTTTTAATCAACCGTCGTGAGACATGCTTTTTATAACTATAAATAGACGTATGCAAATCATATGATTGATTAAACATATTGTGGAGCAAACATTATGTCTACATTACGTGTATATTTATATGATTCTTTGGTGTTACTTTATTAATTATTCATAATTATGTTTTATCATCATAATTTAAATAAACTTTTATGTTTTCATATATTAAAGAATTAATATATATATATATATATTTAAAATACTATTATTATGTGAATCTTTTCTGTAAAGCCTGAGGAATATCATGTACTTTGGAAATATACAGATGTAAAATAATATTATTTATAGTTATCTCTGCGACTCAAGTCATTTTCGTAAACGTCGATATGTTATAATTTTCATCGCATATCTCATTGAGATTCGCGAGTGTGGTGAGTGAGCGAACAATACGTCGGTCCTTCGGTTAACAAAGAAAACGCTCGCGTAATTATCGGCAACCGGATTCACGGTAAGACGGACGCGCGGCGCGGGCGCGAGATATCGTCGCGGACGTAACATAAATCCGACGACGTCGGCAATCGGGAATCTCATTTTCTTGCCGACCCGAAAGTTAAACACAGCCGGTTCGCTGTTATCGTATAATCAAGCGGTATCATCCGGCGAAGATGGAAGGGACGGTGGCGGGGTGAGTGTCGGGGTGACGAGATGGGTGGTGGTAAAGAAGAGGGCAAAGTGGAATTTATCGGCCTAGCGTTTATCTCATCTTCCAAGGGCAATAGGATCCTCGTCTAAGCGGAAACTGCGGAAAGCCGCTCGACGTAATTTGAATTCATGCAAATAAAAGGCCAAATGAAAGCCGAGACAAAGCAAAGCGACAAACGGCGAGAGGGGAAAGGGAAAGGGGTGTGGAGGAGGAGGTGGATGGTTTGGGGGTGGGATTCGAGAGTCGAGCGAGGAATTTCTGCAACGTTGGTAAACACGAGACGCTTAAACTGAGTTATTAAGTCTATCCTATGTTTCCAGTGCCACGGAACGTTGTTCGTCGTTTTATATTTTGTCTCGATGCTTTTGCCGTTAAAGAATGGATCTTTTAACGAGTTCGCCTCAAAGCGCATTGTCGACTCCGACTTGTATATACTTGAATACGCCACAGCTCGGCTAAA